ATAACAGTGACTAATAATAGGATACTCCCTATTAGAGACACTGGCATTTTAACAGGTAATAAAATCTTAACTTACATGGCTAAAGCGCCAAAATAGACATTTAAGAAACTTCACAAAGACACATAATCTTCTTAGAGCATGGACTCTTTCTACATTTAAACTTTAAAGTGCAACTCCTCAATGTCTGAAACAGAAATAACTTTTTTTTTTATGAAGCACAATGCACTATCAGTAATTTTTAGATCTTATGCAATATACAGAGCAGGAGTAATATAAAGTAACATGTTCAGTGTAACCAATTTCCAACACTCAAGATGTGGTCCTCTCTTTAGACTCTCAGATCACTCAATTTGGTGGCAAGCAATAATTGCACAAGTCAGCCTTTATCAGGATAGTATCTCAGGAAACAAGTGCCTATAGGAGCACAAAGAAATAAAGATTCTAAGGAAGGCAAGAAAGAATCAAGAAAAGTGACTAATAGGGAGTAAGGTCCAGTCAACTTGGAGCAATAGACCACAGGGCACCAGAGGGGCAACATTCACAGGGAGAAAATGCAGGACACACAGGAGTGCATAACTATGAAGGGCCAGGGACAGGGGGGTGTCCCAAGGTCAACAGAGCATAGCAGGCTGTTGAGCAACGACATGGCTACATGCAGAGTCCAAGCGTGCCATAGGCTAGAGACCATTCCCAAAGCTGTTTCTTATATACGGGAAGTAGACCACATTCCCAAAGGCAGCTACTCAGCTGCTCCCAGTAAATTCCACCATGGAATTGATTACTAGTCTCATCATGGGGAATACTACATCCAGCTGCCCATCCACTCAACCGGGCCCAGCCAAGTTGATACACAAACATAACTACCACAGAGGTCATCGTGGGAGAAATTGGAGGGTTGGGGACAGCAGCTTCATACCAGCTGGCATGAAAATATTTCAGCATGCTTGAGTGCCAGTACAGCCACGCTGGTGAATATCATCTAAATATCAGTCCTAGATACAAGATCTAGACTACATTATGAATAGGCCAAGTAGACAGAACTACCAGCATACTTTACCTCCTGTGCATTATTATGCCTTTTGTGGCCCTAAAGTTGAATTGTGATGATTTATTATTGCTCTCTGATCCTACATCAGCTAGACTATGTAAGCTCAGTAAAAGACAGGAACTGCTTCAGTTTTGTTTTGTTTGCCATTTATCTCTATCATCTAGTACAGTGTTCAATAAATATTTGTTTAATGCATTAACAGAGTCCAACAGTTTCTTCTAGATCTGAAGGTGTTCTGTGGATATTTCTAACTGGAAGACAGAATGCTCTGAGAATTCATTCTGGTCATGAACTGGCTTTGGAGATCTGTTCCAGATCAAGTTGTTCCCATATCATTAGAATACTTAGATATCAATTCCTAAGTCTCTCTTAAGAAGAAGCATGCTAGAGTGTTCTACAATTATACAATTCTATGGCTTGCCCAAACAGAGATGAATATTTAAAGGACAGGGTATAACCATAAAAAGTCCCTGGGATCCTGACTTTTCCTTAAACTTTTAACAATTCTACTTAACTGCCATTTAGCAAAAATGGGTACTGTTTTCCATTGTACAGAGGAACAAATTTCAGGAAATTGGCTACCTACTTCAGTCACTTGGTATAAAACCAAGGTCATATGACAATTTATGTTTCTCATGATAAAATGCCTGTATTCACTTGGGGAAGTAAAAACCAGAAGTATATTGCAATTTTGTAACCTACAAATTTCTCAGTTTTAATTAAAATAGCAGAACAATTCAAAGAATTAACTGCCCATAGAAATGATTCAGTATTTTTGTATTGAAGGTAATATATCTTAATTTGGTTACCATCATTTTTATAGAAATGTTTTCAAATATAATCATCTAAAGGCTATTTCCTAAAACAGTAAACTGTAATGTGCATTTACACCAAAATAAAAAGCTAACCAACAAAGGACATTTTTATAAATTTCTATTAAGTGTTGAGGAAAAAAAACTGAAAACATGATCAGAGAGCAAATGTCCTAAATTGTCCTTAAGCATTTTTCAAAAGAACAGTTCTTTTTATTATATTAGGCATTTGAACATGATTAAGAACCCTTTTTTCTGCCATTTCTTTTTTGTGTTTTTTTTCTCTCCCTAGCATTATTTTGTTTTTCATGGATTTTCACACATATATAGCTATTTTGCTAATTTGCCATGCATATGACTAGTCACAAAAACATTAAATCACTTTCAATTTGACTTAATGGACATTTGTTGATTAAAAATCATTGTTTTATTTCCTTCTGTTATGGATTGAAAACAAATGTCCACTTAATTTTACAATTATTCCACTTACTAATTCTCATCAAGCCATCCCTCCACACCTCATCCAAGCACATATTATATATTCGGGGTTTATTAACACTATTTACCCCCCTAAAAGAAAAATAAAGTCAACTCTTCCCCTGCTCCCACAGCAGCCTCACAAAGAGGGAAATTATATGTGAAAAAAGACCTCTAGAAAGCTGTTAAATTTGTTTCTTCACTTCATAAAGCCATTTTAATAAGACCCAAATGTTAATGGTAAGATTAGAAAGAGCTAGATAATCTTTTACAACCTTGAATGGACTATTTCATTGTTATCGCCAGTCTCAAGAACCTCAATAAGACTGGCTTCTTTTGGGAACTAATTCATGAGCAAAATGAAGCTGGAAAACTCCTAGGAGTCCATTATTGATTCTATCTCTTGAAATGATTTCCATATTTCAAGGATGCTTCCAAAGGAAAGTTACCAGAAACTGAGTCAAACCCACTCTGGGCATTTCAAAAATGACCTGAAATCTGAAGATGTGATATAGACTAGACTGACCTATGTATGTATTGACTCGATGGCAGTGGGTTTGGTTTTTTGTTTTTATGTATGTTGGGGAGCTCTAGTGGCATAGTGCCTAAGGTATTTGCTGCTAACCAGAAGGCTGGCAATTGAAATCCACCAGCCACTCCTCAGAAGGAAGATTGGGCAATCTACTTCCGTAGTGATACCACCTCGGAAACCCAAGGAGGGATGGCTATGAGTCAGTTCTGACTTGAAGGCAGTGAGGTTTTTTGTTCCTTTTTTTTTTCCATTTTAGGGGAGCAGCACTTGCTGGGTACAGTTCTTAACTTCCTCAACTTCTTATTCCCTGCCAAGCAACATTATGATCCTCCTCAACTGCTGTATCACTAATACTCTCCATTTTTATAGAAGCACAAACTAATACTTTCAACTCCTGAAAAAGTGGGACATAAAGAAATTTGTTATTCCATATACTTCAAATAGCATTTTGAAAGGGTATTATTGGTCACATAAGCTATACATGATGGAAAATGGAATGCAGAGTAGTTACTTAAGGATAAAAATATGCTACAACACAACCTCTTATGCTTATCTTATTCAAGTGTTGAAGTTAGCAGGTATGAAGTCAGGATAAAAAAAAATAACACTAAATTCATTATCTTTACTTATTCAAATATTAGATTGAATTACAAAGCCATTTTAATATTGAGTATCTAGATAAAAAGGTCTTTGATGATATGAGCAAGAGGAACAATTTAAATCTGAAATTATCATCAAATGTATTTCTAAATTTGATACTAGCTACATATTTTAGCATTCTATATAATACTATGCACTCTTCACATTATTTATGAATATTTACACCTCATAAATATTGACAATATTACTATACCTAAGGAAACAACTCATACCAGTAATGTTGCCCAATGACATTTAATTCACTTTAGAAAATATAAAGTTTAGCTCAATATTTTATCACTTTAGAAATTATTGCATTAAACTGTATAAATTTAACAATACAAAAGACAATGCACACACAACTGCTTGTCAGTATCTATAAAGACACTAAGTCAATTTTTTTTCCAAAACCCTTACTTATTGTTCAGAGTTAAAATTCTGAATGGTTGAAAAGGATGGATTGGGAATGTTATGGAGAGGATGGAGGGTGAGAGTGATGAAGAGAGAAACAGAAAATAAATCTGGGATACTTGTTACGAGATCATAGAAATTTAAAGAGGTGAAAATAAACTAAGAATTGTGATCATCAACAAGAATAAACTGCAAGGACATTGAAATGACTTCTTTTATAAAATATAGTCAAACACCAAAGATCAGTGGAGGTAAATATGTGATTACTAGTGCACAAATCATACCACTGTATCATGCAGTCATAACAATTCCATGACAGAAGTTCATATTATTTTATTTTACAACTAAAAGTATATGTCAATCATTTTGTTATTTCTAAGAGGAGTGTAGGGTCTTACTTCCACAGTTTTGGCAGAAAACTATACCATCCTTTTAGTAATGTTTTGTTAATTTATTTCATGTATATTTAAAATTTCCTTAACATTCTACTGACTTTTATCCTAAACCAAGATCATAGTTAAGGATAATCTGAGAAAAATACAAATTTGCCAAGTGAGCCTCTTCATTTCTAGATGAGGGCTCTATATGACTTTGTTCACTTTATCTGTATATTTTTCTTCCTCCTATCCCTGAAATCAACCTGGAATAACAGTGATACAACAAATTTGATGATTTTCCCAGTAGAGTTTCGAAGCATCAAGTTCAATGCAAATAGATAGCACTGGCAAATTCTCCACTTTTCCCTAAGCCCCTTTCCACAGTTAGGAAAAAAAAAACATTGAAATTTAGTTTTTATCTAAAGCATTCCTTTGAATATGCTCTTACACTCAATTTTGGAACACACATAATAATTTCCTGTAGGCTATTCTGATCGTCAGTGTAAAATATCAGGTATGTTGTAAACAAAAAGAAATACTTAAGCAAAAGGAGGTCTGATGTGACTTGATATGCCAGAAAGTCAGCCTTAATCAAGGCTTGGTTCCTACTATAGATGTGATACAAGTTCCCTACTTGTCTGGTTTGATATTTGTAAATTAGGAGTGCTGAATTCAGAACTGTTTTTATGGGAAATGTTACATAGATTACATAGCGCTAGAGAATGTAGAAGAGTTACACGAACTTTCAATGGGTCTATGTTCTGCTCTTGAGAGATTTGAAGGCTAATCTGATTAACATTATTCATTAACAAATTGGAATCCATAAGATTGGTTATGGAGTAGCACCGGGTAAGAGTTTCATCCAACAACTGTTTGTAGAGTTCGGCCACCTTTTTTTCCATATAATTATTAAGCATAGAATTAGAGAGAGGTTGCTTATGAGACATCATACTTTTTTCTCGAATATCATCTCCATCCAACAGCTTTGAGGCAGGTAGATTCTCTAGAGGCTCAATGATGGGAGAATCGCCCAATGATATATCCACAGAATGTAAAAGAGGACCATTAAAAGCATCATCATGTGTGTGTTCTACAAAGCAGCCTGAATCATACATGTTCCCCACGTGGTCACCTCCAATTTGTAGGTCAGGATAATTCTGGCAAATACCTGTATAGGACCAGGATCCATACAGATCCAATTGTGTTTCATCATGTCCTTTTTTCTTTGGAATGGCCAATGCAACTGACACATTTCCGGGAAGAGGTATATCTTTGCATTTCTCCACAGTTTTCTCATCCACAGATTTTATTTGGCATGTATTATTTCGTTGCTCTATTAGACTTTCTTTCATAACCTTTTCTTGATTTTCCATCTTAGCAGGGGAAAGTGCATTGTCTTCTATATCTAAAAGCTGCTTTTTCCATGTTTCCTTATTATCATTTGAGGTCTTCTTACATGTAAATGGTTTGTAGAATTTTGTATATTTTTGTTCTTTGTATGGAAGTTCAATTAGGAAGGCCTCTGCTAGCATTTTGTTAAAATTTTTAAATAGAAGAATGCAGTATTCCTGTAATATAAAAGAACTCATTGAAGGCAATGATCATTAAAATGCCAAGGAATTATCTTCTATATGAAACAAGTTACTTAAAGTAGCAGTGTTGATCAAAGGATAAAAGTAGGAACAGAAGTGCGACTTGGCTTCTGGTTCTGCCACTGTTTTACATCAGATAGTTTATTTAATCATCTCTGGATCTCAATTTTCCATCAATTAAATGATAATAACAATGTTTCCCTACCTTCTTCCCAGAATAATTGTCAGGAAAAAAATTATATGGTATGCATGGAAATGTTTTCAAAAGCACAAACATATATAAATGTGTGTATGTATGTGTGTATGTGTGTATTTAACTGACTTTAAGGATTTATTTAAAAATTATTAGTGAAGTACTTAACCTTTTCTCTATCTTCAAAGGGTCTACTTAAAATCAAGCCTGCTTTCAAGGAGTTGGTTTTAAAAGGAGTTGGATTTAATTAATATATCATTTGAATCACAGAAATAAAGTTCTATTATCTGAGAGTATATATAAGAAATGAACATTTGTATATAGTTTGGATTCATGCAAACTTTCTGATTAAACTCATAAATGTACTAACTTGATTTTTCAATAATGAAAATAGAAATAGGTTGACAAATTTACTACCATCTTTTTTCTCTTTTCTTCCTTCCTCCCTTTCTTTTGACTTAAATTTTATTTCCCTAAGAACTTATTTTTTGTATGATTCTTTAGAGCAATCTAGGACTTTCAATTTTTCCTATAAACTCAGTGAAGGTGTGAAAGAAAATACAAACTTGACTCAAGATATAAACTTTCCTCTTATACTTTTATGGTGTTAGCTATAAATTTCTCCCAGCAATTTCTTATATTCATAGTTAAACGATTTCTGGAAGAAAATTAAAAAACGTAAATGAAATATATAAGAATGTAAACTTACCTTTTTGAAATGTCAAGATAGCCTAAAGGTTCAGTTTTCTGAGATTCCAATAGCCCCAGAATGAGAAAAGTGTCTTTTGACTCTTTTGTTTCTCAGCTTTTGCTTATGCCACGGAAACACAGTATTAACCACATAAAATAGTTCTGCTTTCCATTCAAACCCTAAGACTGAACCAAGCTTATAGAAAAATGGTGTGGGTTAATCACATGTATGGTAATGATCACATACCAAAAGAGGATCTTGAAAGTGTTTATTGAAGTAGAAAAACAGTGTCATAACCAGCATTTAAAAAAAGAAAAATAAGTAGTTAGAAATAACCTAATTCACCATAAATAGGAGACTGGTTAAATAAATTATGGTACATCTATAACATGAAATACTGAGGAGCTCTGGTAGCATAGTGGCTAAGACACTTGCCTGCTAACCAGACGGCTGGCGGTTCAAACCCACCAGCCACTCCTCGGAAGGAAGGTTGGGCAATCCTTCTTCCGTAGTGATACTGCCTCGGAAATCCAAGAAGGGGTCGCTATGAGTCGGGTTTGACTCGACGGCACATAACAACAACAACAACAATGATAAAAAGTATATATTGAATAATTACTACATTAAAGTCATTCTAAATAGTCTACATATATTACTTACTGTTCTAACAATGCTTGGAAGCAAGAACTATTATTATCCCCTTTTATACAGGAAGAAACAAAAACAGAGAAAAACTTTACACTAACCATTCTCAAAGTTAGAAAATGGTAGAATTAAGATTTGCAATAGGCAATTGGATTTGGAACCCAAGTGGATTCAGAACTACAATATATTTTCTCCATGTGCTTTGAAAATATATACAGTATGATTCATCATTTATTGAGTGCTTACAATGTGCTAGATACTGTTCTAAATAATTTATAAATACTAACTCTTTACATCTCATATTATGCCTATGTAACAGATATTATTAGCCCCATTTTTCTGATGAGGAAAATGAGACCCAGAAAAGTTAGATAACATGGCCATCATCACCAAGCTGTAAGTGGTAGAGTTTAGGATTGAACCCAGGTAACCTAGTTTAACCACCACTCGTCTGTAAGTTTGTTGTATTGTGGTGACTTGTGTGGAATGAGCGAATCATTGCTGGTGTCAGATGTAGCTTGTCTGAAAGCGAAGAATATCAGAAAGTTGTTTTCCTGTGTTTTATTGACTTCAGAAGCATTTGACTGCGTGGATCATAACAAATTTTGGATAACATTTCAAAAAATGGGAATTCCAGAAGACTTAATTGTGCTCATGAAGAACCTGTACATAAATTAATAGACAGTCACTTGAATGAACAGAACAAGAGGATACTGCACTGTTTAAAATCAGTAAAAGTGTGCATCAGGGCTATGTGCTTTCACCATATTTATTCAGTATGTATGCTGAGCAAATAATCCAAAAAGTTGGACTATATGAAGAAGAACATGGTATCAGGATTGGAGGAGAAGCAACTAACAACCTGTGATATGTAGAAAACACAATCTTGCTGGCTGGAAATAAAGAAGACTTGAAGTACTTACTGATGAAGATCAGAAAATACTGCCTTCAGTATGGATTAGATCTCAACATAAAGAAAACAAAAATCCTCACAATTAGACCAATAACCACATAATGATGACTGGATAAAAGATCAAGTTGTCAAGGATTTCATTTTATTTGGACACTGACGAGCAAAGACGTCACTTTGAAGACTAAGGTTTGCCTGACCAAAGCCATTATCTTTTCAATAGCCTCATATGCATGTGAAAGCTAGGCAATGAATAAAGAAGATCTCAGAAGAATTGATGCATTTGAATTGCAGTGTTGGCAAAGAATATTGACTATACCACAGACTTTAAAGTGGTCTTTGCAGCAGATTTGCCCAATGCTGTACATCATTTGATTTCTTGACTGCTGCTTTCATGGCCATTGGTTGTGGACCCAAGCATTAGCTGCTGGCACATAGTGTGAGTCAATCTGAAGCCAGAATTCTAGCAGCCTCCAGGAAAATCTTTAACCAGAAACCTTTTAGTGTCAGTAGTGCTAACAGAACTTTTGTAATTCTAAACACTCCTTAGGGCTTTTATCTGCCCTCCAGTCTCAGCAGGTATCAAGGAACTTCCTCCGAACTCAGCACGCATCACA